CCCGCCGAAGCCCGCCTCATTATCCTAATGTATTCACCTTCGCCCGGCCCGCGCCTGCCCCAGGCCCCCAGGGGGCGGGGAGCTGAGCGGGAGGTCTACGTTAGCATAATATATGCAAATCATAGAGCTGCCGCCGTGATTGGAGAGGAGCTTGATGACCCCTCCCCCACCACGGAGTAACTTCAGCGTCCCCGAAGGCCACTTCTCCCTCCCTGGCCAGGGGCCGAAGCGGGGTCCACTGTGAGCCAGGCGGCAACTCCGGCTTATACTGGCTCGGCCCAGCGCCCCCTCTTTATCGCGGTTAAATCTGGAGAAATGGCCTCTTGGAGGGAAGAAGTGGAGCAGAAAGCTCCAGCTCTCCAGATCTTCACTCAAAAGCAGCGGCGGGAACTCTTGGGATCTCGCTCTGGGCAGCCTTTCTCCCTCCTCCCTCACTTTTCCAAATGCCCAGAGGCAGTGTGTCTGGCTAACGCCCGAGGTACATTTCCCCACTTCCCTTGTCTTCCCACGGCCTCTGCAGAGTCTCCGCCTGGGGAAGTTTTCTCTCCCTTCCCCCAGTTTCCTTCCGTCTTGACGAGGCCGAGTCTCCTCCCCGCTCTGTGTTCCTAATCTATACTGGGGTGCTAATGCGTTTTCCTGATCCCCTGTTTTGTGGAATTGAAAAAGGGAGCGTTGAGGTACACATTTTTCAGGATTTAGGAAAGGACTGAAGAATGAGGTCAATTTTTCCTCTTACCTGACTCTTCATGCTGCTCCCTTCTGGATCAAATTACTAGTTCTCTAATGGGATTTTTGAAAGTAGGTAACAAGTAAGTAGCAGTCTACATCTAATTGACTTTGAGGATGGGGAACACCTTACTCCAACGAGTTTCTTGTCTCCTCTCCACCAGAAACACCATATATTTTTCCCGTCCTTAAGCTAACCTCAAATTTTGCTCATTAATGTAAACAATCAACAAAATACTGCAGTAAGCTGATCTTTCACAAACGTAAACGGATATTGCTAGGTATGAAGCAGGTTAAAGATGTTTCTACATGTGTTCACGGAAGAAGATATAGGAATAAAAACAGTTTAAGGGATGAAAGAACATTGGAGGAAAACTCAGTGAGTTTTGCTATAAAATCAAAAATGTAATTCTTTACATTTGTATTACACAGTAGTTCCCAGACCAGCAACAACTGAGAATTTATGAAAAATTTAAATTTGGGGGTCCCACCCCCATCTACGGAATCAGAAACTGCTATTGCTGAATCAGAAACACAACAAACTGTGTCTTCTCAAGTCTTAATGGTTTCGATGCACACTAATGTTTGAGAACTAACTACTGCTGTAATGCTTTACAAAATAGTTTCAAATACATTTTTTTACTCCAAACTCAATCCTGTGATGCAAGTAAGGAATTATTGGCCCCGTTTTATATATAAGGAAACAATTTTCAAGTCACATTTAACTGTGATTAAATGTGTTTCCAATAATAGCACCCAAAGAAAGAATGGGCACAAATTTTTTGATATGTCAGCTCTTCTGATTTTTCAATTACCTGTTTAACCATTCCTTAGTCTCCTTTGCTGCCTTTTTCTCTGACAATCCTCTAAATATTGGTGCTCCTCAGGTCTCTATCTTCTTCTAACTCTGTGCGCTATCCCCAGTAGTGCTCTCAATTACCATCCTTACATTGATGAGTTATAAACCCATATTGCAAGCCCAGATCTCTCTTCTGAACTACAGACCATAGAGCCAATTGCCTGTCTGCCATCTCCACTTGGATGTCCCATAAGCAATTCCAACTTAACTTGCTTACCTCCACACCCAGCTCTTCTTTCATTTTTCACCTCAATAAATGGAGCTGCAGTACATCCAGTGTTTCCAAGACAAAATACCCAGTAACAACCCCGGAACTCTCCCTTGCCCTCCTCCTCGTCTACCGAAATTTCTTCATTAACTCCTATTGTCCTTAAGATGGAATCGTGTATCTTACAAGTCACCACCTGGTGTTTGTCATCTCTTTTTCCTCATTGCTCGTCTTTCCCCCACACTCTCCATGCCACTTTCTATAATGAAAGTATGGAGACAAAAAGAATGAAGAACTTTCTGGATGGGGCAAGACATCTCTCTCTTAAATTTCAGTAGAAAGGCCATTTTCTGCCCCAACCAATGATAACAGTAAGTCACACATTTAATTTGATGGTGCAATGTATTTATATCATGCTTTGTGAAAATTGGCCATGAGAAGGTATATTAACTCTTGCAAGCTTTCAGACTGTCAGATCTTAGTGGAGAGATAAAGTTGGAATTTTGTGGATTTAGGATCTTTATCCAGAGCATTAATTTTGCTTTATTTGTTTAGCGTGCATAATACCCCAGAAATGTACTGTCATTAACACTAAGATTTCAAAACCCAGTAGATTCTCTGCATCAAGCACTGAGGAATGTGTGTATCAAGAAAGCTCTGGGGATTTGAACCCATATTGTTCTATAGATTCATCAGACCACAGTTATTGGTTCCTGTATAGAGAAAGATTCAAAAAAGTAAAAATAGCACTAAAAATAATATATTCCAGCTAACTTCAATTTACCTAAGACTAATATCAATAGTAATAAAAGGCAGGTAGCTAGCTCGTTGTAGAACAGGCATGTGATTGGAAGAATAATGGACCCCCAAAGAAGTCCACATTCTAATCCCCAAAACTTATAAAGGGAGATGTTACCTTACTTGAAAAATATATATATTTGCAATGTGATTAACTGAAGGATCAGGAGAAGGAGATTTTCTTCGATTATTTGGGTGGGCCCAATGTAACCATAAGGGTTCCTATCAGAGTCTCAGAGAGAAGGTGTGCTGACAGAAGCAGAAGCCAGAGTGATATGAATATTAGCTTCAAAGGTGGAAGCCAAAAAAATGGGCAGTCTCTAGAAGCTGAGTCTCCCCTAGAGCCTCCAGGAGGCATGAAGTCTTGCCAACTCTTTGATTTTAGGACTTCTGATCATCAGAACTATAATTAATAAGTTTGTGTTGTTTAAGTCACTGAGTTTGTGGTAAATTGTTACAACAGCCATGGAAAACTAATAGAATCACAATCACAAGAAATCAGTTTTCATCTGCTACAGCATCATAAGCAGTTTTGTAACTACCATAATGCCCTATAACTCCAGCAGGCCCTGTCATAACAATCCCTGTCTCTGAAATGTTTACGCATTCCTATTTTACTGACATACCCGTTGGGAAAGAATTGGCGAGATATGCCTTCTCTCGTGTCATGTAAAATTAGGATAACCTCTACTGAGACATATTAAACTGAATAAAATATGTTCTGTTTCTTTCATGTCTCCCATTGGTGCAACTCAAAAATAGTAAACCAGTCAAGCTGTACAGTCATTCTCATCTCTCCTCCCTACTAATGCTAGCCCAGCCAGAACCCTAACCCAGGACTTATCATTATCGCTAGCACTACTGTTACCGATCTCTAGATCCCAGGAAATAAAGACTTTGGGAGACGTGAGACCTGAGAGACATGGCAGGAAGCTAAAGTGAGAAAGAAGGTGACTGGGGGCAAGGGGGCCAGAAAAAGAGAAAAAAATGAATAAGGTAGAAGAAAAGAGCTTTTTAAGTAGGTAGAAGTGTTGATTTTTTAGAAAGGCATGATCAACTCCTATATGTTTCTAAGAGGCTGATGGATAGCAGATATATGGCATAGAGGTGAACTAACACATACTCAACACTTTGATGTCTTACGTGTATTTAGAAAGATCTTCTGACCAAAATAAGTAACTGAGATAATCATATTATGCTGTTTTTAGATATTAATTACATGACAGAAAAGTATTTTAATTTAGTTTTCAAAGAATCTTTTAGCACCTTTAACTTTTAAGGCTAATTAGTATTCCTAAAACCACAACTTTAACCAGTATTCGCCACCAAAGCTATCAAACAGAAACAAAGGTCTGAGGAGATCGTGACCGTCATTGTACATCCACTACCAGCCTCCGTGTCCACTAAGTACCTTAATAAAGAAAATGATAGAATTGTGTGCTGTACTGAGCATGCTATTTCATAAACTTCAGATGAGACAGTGCTCTCAGAGGAACATCTTTTAAGAAGACAAAGTTTCCCAAATAGAATGAAATAGGCAGTGAAGTGAACTTAAAAGATGCACAATTCTCCCACAGCTAGGCAAATTTCGATAAATTACAAACAAATTATAAATATCTTTAGGAGCAGAAGAGAAGTATTTGGCTCTTAGTGACAGGCTGAAAACTTCTTTCAGACAGATCAAGGACCTGATCCCATTTACACAAGCCTGGTTAAGCAAAGGGTTTACAACTGTAGGAATCCAATAATCTGGATAACGGCAAGCCCTTCAAATTCCATTTCTCCCTTCACCGACAGTTTTATGTTTGTTTGTTTGTTTGTTGTTTTGTTTCTGTTTTGTTTCATTTGAAAGGAGAATTCTTTTCTCAAATCTTAAATAGCAAGATAATAACCCCACTTAGATTTT